ATTCTGTTAGGAACGTCCCAATTTATTTTAAATGGCATCAAGTTATCATGACTTATAAATTATATTTTTCAATAACCTTCTCTATGTGCAGATTTTTTTAATTTTTTTTTGGAATTTATGTATAAATTTGTGCTTGGTAATTAGATGTGGCAATTTGTGATCAATATAGATTTGGTCTTATATCCATGTCTAGTAAAAATTTCTAAGATTATACAAATTTTGACCAACTTAAATTATAAATACATTTTAAAATTAATAACATTTGAATCTTTTACCATATTTTCATAAATGAGATATAAAATTAACAAGATGGGCTTAAATTTGGTATATATAAGTAAAAACACATATTTATATGTATAATAAAAATTAAATTATCCATCACAATTAATTAAAATAATAAAATTATTTGTCAATTAAATAAATTTATCTATAAAGTTCATCATATAATACTGATCATAAAAGTGTATAAATAAGGAGAGTCATTTTAAATATAAATATTAATTTAAAAAAAAAAATATTTGAAACTTAAGATAAAAACGTAGTTTTAAATTTAGGTATAAATCTTCATTAATACACTGGTGTCGTATTATACTAGTTATTATTATAGTTGTGATGATATTTTGATACACTAATTAGACTTGAATATGCACGGTTACACTTGTACTTGGTCAGTGGTTCGAGTGCTAGGAATTATACTTCTATTTTTGTAGTTTAAATTCCCGTAAATTATGAATATATCGTGAGAAATTGAATAGATTGAAAAAATATATTGTGAAATATTTTGAGGGTATTAAGGATATTCAACAAGAAATACAGTTGTTAATAGTTTATTTCTTGTAATGAATCATAAAAAATATTGAGGGAGTCATGGAAAATTTAATTAAAAAAGAACTATGTCATAAGCCAAACGAGAAAGGGAGAATTTGCAAGTAAAACGTAAATACAAGAGGACATCGCGCAATTTTTATAATATATAGGAAAAATTTGCATTTTTAATAAACACATATATATCGTGCAATTAATCCTAATGTAGCCATTTCAAGTAGAGCCAACAATTTAGGCAATCCGAAGGTTTTAGACTCTCTTTATTGGTGACACAATTCTTTGATCACCAACTAAAAGACAAAGAAAAAAAAAATCGCAAAGTTGTAAACATTGTAACTTTGGGTTGTGACTTCTGAGTCTTGTGACTCAGGTTGTAGGTGGGAATGTGACACTTGTCTCATTCTTATTGGTTGTCTTAATTTTTAGATAAGGTATTTATAAATAATTTTTAAAGCTTACTAAATGATAGCAATTTATATTAAAGAAAATAGTAATTAACAAAATTTGTATTTTACCATTCTTTATAAATACAGACCACATTTGATATATTTAGAATAGAATTGTTAATTCCCTCTTTTGATCCTTTAAAAAATTTCTACCTTATTTATTTTATTATCTCTTTTTTTTTTTTTAATTTCTAATAAATATCATATGGATCCAAATTTTGAATATTATGTCAGCCATTTTGTCAAATACTGAAATTCAATTTCGAAAATTATTCACATCAGCCATTTTCTTCAAAATTAATAGATTTTGTATGTATTTAGTTGTATGGTATTTTTAAAACCATTACGACTTTATTTATAAGTTTTTAATTAATTTTTCACAACTAAAATAATAAAAATAATTTTAGATAATACATAATAAATAAATAAATAAATAAAATATTTTAAGTTGGGTTTAGTGACTAATAAATATAAGTAGAATTGTAAAATTAGATTGTGTAGATGGATAAGAAAAATAATTTTTAATTATTGAATTGTTGATAAAGATAATTTTTATTTTCGGGTTCAATATAAATGATTCATATGAAAGAGTTTTGTAAAAGTGGCTTGAAGTAGTAAGGGCATCACTTCTCTAAGAATCAAACCACTCCAAAGCTGGTTCTGGGCCCGGTTTCGGGCCAAGGGTTGGACGACCTTGAAATGGCCCGAACATATGCATGAGCCAGTTTTGGGACCGCTCAGTTTATCAAGAAAATCAAAAATAATAAAAAATAATGAAAAGGGCCGAATCGCATGTTCCATTTCAAAATCGGCCCAACCATTCGAAAAGTACATATAGGTGGCCCAAAATCGACTCGATCAAACCACGGTTCAATTCAAGTCCGGCCATGGGCCGGTTCAAGCCGTGGTCATGTCTAACCACACTGTATATTATTTAATTAACCAAATAAATAATCCCTACCATTTTGTTACCATAAATTTGGAAAATACTCAGCTCTATACATTGAGCCAATGGAGCTTCAGATTTCAGTCTGCTGGTGGCTCTTAGTGAGAGACGAAGAACAAAACTCATTCAAAACAGAAACAAAGTTGTGTGTATATCAAATCAAAGCCAACATTATTCTCTCAACAAATAATCAAAGGAAAACTACAACCACAACACAAATTATGACCAGCCTACGACGAAAATTTACAAAGATAACGATCCCCAGTCTCAGGGAAAAAGTCGTATACCGAGCCTCCTCCGAGTCTCATCCCCTTCCATGAGGTTAACACAATCAAACTATATAAAAGTAAACTCTTTTCTTTTTCTTTGCTTTATGTTCTTCTCATCATTATTAAATTATGTTAATGCAACAGCCGGACTGCCGGAGGATTATTACTACAGTTGCTATTGCTACTATTACCCGCCAGCTGGCACCTCTGCCGTCTGGGCCGCCTCGTTTTCTTCCCCCATCCCGTTATGCTTCGATCCTCCAATCTGCCTTCAACCCTATCAACAAGCTGCTCCTCAGCTGCATGGGTACGCCGTCTGCCCCTGGGCCCACCATTCCTCTTGGTTTGGCCCGGTGACCAGTGGTGGCCCGTGGCCCGCATGAGCCCACCCAACATCTGGATGTCCTCAGTCACCTCTTGCCTCGACAATGAGGCAAGGCCCGGGAGGATGTCCCGCTGGAAGTCCCTCCTTTGCTGCCTCCCTCTCCTCTGCTGGCCCCTCCTCGGCCGGCCCGCCATGTAAACTGTGGGCCCCACCTTCTCGGAGAGAATGGGGGCAAATGGAGCCGGCATGTAGTCCTCCTCCTTGCTCTCCTCTATCTGCAATGTCATGGCCTCGAAATCATCAATCTCTCCATGCGGTGGGCCAGGCCCCGGCACGTCGGGCCCATGGGCCTCAAGCAGGCCCGCGAGCCACATGAGAGACTCAGCCAGGGGATTATAGGACGAGATGGCGACCATGATATCAGCCGCGTTCCTGAGGAGTTCATCGTTTGACGTCTCGTTTTCAGTTCGTGATAATCGAATGTCGTCCGTGTTCTCGAGAGCTGTCTCAACGTCGTGTTCCTCGATAAAATTGCTATCGCAGAAGTTCAGATCGATAAGCGGACCCCTCATCCCCATTTTGCCCTTCTCAGCAGTTCGGATATCGACTGGTGAATCTTCGTCGAGCTCACACTCCAAATTTAGGTCGATCGCCCGGTTTTTATTTTCTGTATCGACATTTTTAGTGCAGTCGATGACAGGTGGCGCATTTTGTGGCTCGTCCGTTTCAAAAATGGGGAATCCCATAAGTTTCTTGGCACTTTCTATCTTTTCCGTATTCGAAACTTCAAAGTCATTCGACGGTTGATTGAGATCCGTAAGCCAAGGCAAAGTTTGCTTACTTTTACTTCCATCTTCATCCTCGTTTAAGTCAATATATATTACGGGTTTTGAGTTCTCGAGACGAGATGGGTTTTGAAGAATCTGTCCAAATATTCGATTGGTCGACCGATTACTAGCAGCCCTACTACTGCAGTTAAGGTGATCAAAGCCCGGAAAGTGATTTGCTTTTGAGGACGACCCGTGATAAAATCCGTTCTTTGCAGTTATGTTACATCCAGAAATGAGATTTGAGTTTGAGCTTGGGTTGAGTAGCTGAAGATCACTTGAATGGGGCTGTGAACTGGAAAAGCAAGAACTAAAGAATGGGCCCGAACCCGGAGCCCGGTTAGGCATGCCTGTAGCTGGATGAGAGAGTATTGGCATCTTTTCTTTTTGAGGACCAGGAGTTGCAAAACTGAGGTTGCTTTTACTTGAACCTGAAATATTCAGAAAGTTGGGAGAGCATTTTCAGTAACAGAACAACTAGCAATGCCCAAAACTATAAAGCCCACCGATAAGAGGAAAGTTATCTTTGTACTTTGTGCACAAATTAAGGGGATGCTCGCCAAATGCATAAAATAAAGAATGAATATAAAGTATGGAAGTGTTACTGCAAGTGACACGAGAAGGTAAAGAATTGTTTACCACAAAGCTGTAACTGTTGTGATGGAAATCGTAATTTTACACTGCATGGATCAAGTCGAGAAAAACAATAAAAATAAAATAGGCTAGCTTACAACTCTAAGTTAGCACTATTTCTTCACGGTTCCATTTGGAGACGAGGTTCCTGATAGTATATCCTAAATCAGTAACTTATACAAGCTTAAAATTTAACAGTAAAGCTCTTGACGTAAATAGAAGTACACTCGCGGT